AAAGAAAAACATTGTTGTAAAGATTTAAATCATGACAATAAATTACGAAAAGTATTAGGTATTTTACATCCCAATTACAATTTGTTCAGCTATGAGATGACAAACGCACTTTTGCTAATTAACACTTTAAACTATTTCATTTCCCTTTAAAGCTAACAATTTGGGCTAAAACGGCTTCTGTAGGGCACAAAGTTTGAAGTAAACAATTTTTTTAGACTTTTTCTTTATCAGTTTATAAATTTTTAGAAACATCTTTATGACAAATATGATTTCAAAAATTGATTGCTGCTAATAATTATCAAAATTACTTATTTTATGCTACAAAACTGACGTTAAATGAACATTCTTTAATTACCTGTCACTATGTCTGTAGCCATATTATTATGAGTACTCCTGTAATATTTTGGGAATTTGACTTTGCTTACACAAAAAAGCGAAACACCAAAAATCGTCTCTGCTCAATGCTTTACCCACTCCATCCGCAAAGGAGTCGATAAGCAAAGAGGCGTTTTTGAATTTGGCATATGCAGAATTTTATGTGTGAAATTTATTTTGTACAAAGGTTTCGAAATGCTGTCCCTGAGCAGCATAAGGAAAGAAAGAGGCATTTGAAGGGTTCAACTGGCCTGAATTTTGCAGAGAAGAACAAGCACTACTTTTACTATAAGAAGGCAAGTTAATTGTAACTTTTTCCAAAAGTCTTCAATAATAAGAATGCTTTGTGCACAAAGAACTTCATTTCTCATTTTGCTGTCCATTTTTTTTTAGCATACAGCGTAATCCTTCTTCATCACATGAAAACAGTTGTCAGAAAGTGACGTTTTTCCATGGACACTAAAGTCTGAACAGATGTTTTGCTGGAGACAAAACATTTGATTTACTTGCGTTTAAAATCATCTTTTAAATTTTACAGAATGTTTATTTGGAGAGCTCACAGATTCTACGACAAAGGAAAGTATCGAAATGAAAAGTAAGTAGAAAAATTGACTTCTCTAAATGCTACTTCTCTTTTTAGCGCTCCTGATTGGTTTCAGCTTGTAGGGCTTAAACCAACAATTTTCTGATGCCTCTACCTTTTACCTCATACACAGTTGCTTGATTTACTTGCACTTGACAGTTGTTTCCAACAATAGCACGTGTCTATTTGCGCGTTAATTGTATCAAATAATTTTTGTTTACCATATAAGAATACAATCGCCCAAGTGTACAGTTATTGAGTGTATTTATTTCAGCTAGCACTTTGACTTTCTAGTTCGTACGCAGTTTGAAACGGCATTCTACATTTTCCGTTATAAAAGGAGCAAACTGGCAATGATTGCTGAGTTTATGAGAGTATTTTATAAAAAGTTCAATACAAAATTATCTTCCTTCGTTCTTCTCCTTTACAGCAGTGAAATGGTTATTGCAAATAAAGTATTCATAATGATCGAAAAAGGACGACTTGCTTATTTGAGTTTGTACAGCCAAAAACATCGGGATTTTTCAATGAATTTTTTCGATGCGTCTGTGGAAACTCCGTTGAATATTCCGAAACCTTCGTAGAGACGACAGGCACAAAAATATATCAGAAAATAAAAGCAGTTGTCACGATATAACTCCTGTGTGTGTTTGAAGCGAACTTAATCGAATGAGAACAACAATTACGCAAACACTACTTACTCGGTTACTTGTATATCGTCTAATTCAGAACCAATTTTTTATTTGATTTAGCTTGAAAACTAAGTTTTTTCAGCAATTTACCAACCAAGATATAACCTACGATAGGATTTGGTGAAAGAAGCCGCCTTTTGGTTTTTTAAGTGACTGGTACCATTCCGGTTGGTTGGACGAAAGAAAAAGATGTCACGGCTGACCAACGTTTTGAAACTGGAAAACTTCACTGTGATGACCTCTCTACATTTCCTGGAAGATCTTTTGCTCTGCGCAGTTTCCTGTATAAACGACAGTTACCGCCGAAGCTTTCAGTACCAACTACTCCATGCGAGAACTGTATTATATTAACTTTAATGAAGGGTTCTTCACAAAGAGTAGTGGTATCAAGCTAATGACAAATGAGCCGGTAACTTGATACAAGGAAGAACGATTTTAGTGATAATCATTCTGATTGCGGGTCCAGGTACAGCACCTTAAGATGTTGAGTGCTCTACGATTGGTTTATACTAACTTTTTATTCTTAATGTATCCTTTAGTCATTATAAGCAGGGGAGTGTTCGAAGAAAAAATCTTTACTTAGTACTGTTAAAAGTGCACCTAAAACAGAAGAGATATTCTGAGAAAAATCTCGCTACCTTCGTAATACGAGTGGTAGGTTAAAAATCTGCATCAATGCAGCGGTAGAAAACAATTGCATGACCACTTGATTCGGGAGAACTTCCGCTGTCTTCGATGAAAATCACAAATTGTTTCAGTTGACAGTCGTCTCTCTGTTCTGGCAGTTTGCCAATTCTGTATTTTCTATCCACGTTTATGCGCAGCACGTCGGTGAGGATTTGAATCAGCCGCCATTTTTGAAGCTGTATAAATTCCACTTTTCTACACCATTATGCCGTAGTGTTTTAGCTAAAATGAATTTAGTGATTTTTTGCTTATGCGACTTTTATTGATGATCATTGCCGCCCAGGAAACCATTAAGCCGTTTAGGAAGGTGATGCTCTTAGATTTTTGACTATTCGATCATAAAAGATGTGGCTTTGTAAGCAAACAAAGAACTTTCATGTAAATACGAGATGGCTATTAATTTGGCCTTTTGATCTCGGGCATTCCTTCTGTGGATTCTGGAGTACTCCGTTTTTGGGTAGCGTCGTGTTGTCTGTTCACTTGTTTACTAATGTTTTCAAGTTGTTCGTTTTTGGACTTTGTATAAAACTTCCGCCGTTCACTTTAGATTTGTTTCTTTTAGGTGCGGCAATTTCTTCAGTTTTAATTTGACCACCCGTTTGGGCGGGTATCTTATCCATGGTGTAGCTGTTATTCACATCAAAATTTATTTGAAACTTCTAGGCGATAGTGGCTTGTAAAGAAATGCTTGAAAAATTTGCCAGTTAGCCAGGTGAATAATGTCATCATTTCTTCTATTGAAAAAAGTTTTTTCATCTGCTATGCTAGAATAAAGGTAAAAAAAAGCTGCTATTTTTTGATGTTTACAGAGTGCTTCTTTGAGCAAAATGCGGTTTGAACTTTCTGGGAAAACAAGGTTTAAATTGGAGAGTTATGTACGGTGGCGTTTTTTTAGGTTTAATAGCACTGGTTTCTCCAGCAATGAGTTCTTTGGAAGCGGAGGATGCTTTGAAGGCAGTGAAACAGGAGAATATGGAACTACGTCGTATGATAGCTATTGAACGGATGAAATCTTTGAAAGAAAGGGAAAAGCGGTTACATTTAGAAGCCTGGTTTCGTAATCATCTACGACATTGTAAATCGAGGTGCTTTATTCGTTTTCTTTCTCTCCAGTCACTCTTTCGCCGTTTTGCACGCAGTGTTTCTCGAATTCCTTTCGTTTTAAGAATTCATACAGCTACTTTTGATTATTTTAAAGTAATTGAACTGCTTTTTTTGTTCCAGGATCGGAGAATTGGAGACTGTTTATGCAGCGTCTGCAGTTCAGACTGAACCAACATTTACAGAGAATGAGAACAGAATTTCAACCGTAAACGCTGCAAAAAATAAGAAATCGGAGTTTATATCAGGGGCAGAAATGCTTAGCGTTCCTTCTTGTTCACTTAGTGATAATCATGAGCCATCAGTTGCTGAAGGCTTATTAGCTCGAATTGACAGAGAGATTCAGAGAAGCGAAAGGGTATCTTATGCTACAGGCTTTTTCTTGCTCATGTGTTTATATAACGGAGTAGTACCTTACTCAGTAAATCTCACAAATTCAGTCCCATTCTTTTACCGATTTTTCTTTTAAATGGCCATTGGTTGAATTCAGGGAGAAATTGTGCCTAGATATTTTTAGAGCAGAAACCAGTCATTTCCATCTCGAATGACGTCCATTGATGACAGAGTTTTGAATAGTAAGGAATCTGAGATAAGTAAAGAATATATTCCCTCTACTGAAAACATTTCATTTGAACCTATGAATTTCAAGAAGAAAGGATTATATTTCATTGATATGAATGGAGTAATAAGTTGTGGCTCAGCTGTAAGCTCAAAGGTCAGTTTCGAACTTCTTGCTTATTTCCGTAGTCTTTTAATTTTGCTTTAATTTTTTTCTGTACTGGTCCGCTTTTGTGTAAATCTAGTAATTTGCAAACAAGTTTTATCGCGCTTGCTTTTTAACAGCATGTTCACTGGGTATTATTCTACTGTCAAGGAACCGTAAATCAGATTTCAGTCCTCGGTCTTTTTTGATGGATCATCTCAGTAGTCTTAAGTGTCTCATCATTTTATTTCGCTTTTGAGTTTCTTGTTAGTAAATTCATGTAAAAATCTTAATTTTGTTATAAATGCGTTCTCGAAGAAGTTCAGGAAGGGTGGAGAGGACTGATCCAGTCACATTCTATTTAAGTAGACTTACACATCCGGGTAGTCGGTAAAAAAACCCCCGATATTCAACATTACATGGACAGTCGGTTAATATTGACGTGTTGTTCATCATGAAATTCATTTTGAATTGAAGAAAGGAAATTTTGGCTTCAATGGGTTCACTAGAAATAAAATTTTATACATAAGACTGAATTTTGTAAAGTTTTTGTTATCTTTTGCTCTGTTGAAGATGATCGAATATGCTGCTCTTACTGTTTTATAGGCGGTTGACCGTATGCGGACCTTCGTTAGACGGAGCCTCGCACGTCAGCGAAAGATAAAAGATGCTTCGTTGCTTCGGCAACAGATTGCTTTAGAGAAGCGTAATGTGGTTTCAAAATTAATTAGTGGGGAAGCAAGGCCAGATGATGCGCTTTTGTTATTTGGCAAACCGCCAATCTCCGCCTTCCCTTTAAACAGGATTACTAGCGAAACTAGAGCGTAAATTCTTTCATATTAAAAAAAAGTTAGACCCTCTATCTAGCCTGTAAAGTAGTTGAATTCAGGCGTTTTCAAAAAACCGCAGAATACCGGACAAATCAGGCAGCTCAACTTGAAATTGCCAACCAGAAGTGGAACCGTTTACACGCTCTTTGCTTTAGTGAGGTATTTAGTTTCGAGCATGTAACATTTTTGAAATCGGAGAATTAACTTGTTTCATTTGAAAACGATGTATGAAATTGAAGAAGTTCAAGTTTCTATTGAGGTTTCATTCGCATTTCTAGACATCCTCTGCTTGCAAGTCTCAAATTTTGATCTATTCACAGATGTTTCACATTTCCTAGGCTCTACGGCTACGTTCGGTTGTAGATGGATTCCATCGAGATTTTCGCACACAGCGTAATTTGCCCAGCCGTATAACGCAAAGCTCGACTAACACACGGAAATGATTGTAATTAGTGGTGTATTATTTAATTTGAATTTTATGTGTAATTTACTTTGGCAATTAGAATTATTGTTTTAAATGTTGTACTACTGGAAAAACATTATTTCAATTTGGCGGCGACATGCCGATTATACTTGTGAAGACCGTAACTGACATTTTGAAAGATGCTTTTCCTAGATATTTTTTTAGTGCCTTATGTTTACTAATCAACCCTGAGCGAGATCCGATGTTTTTAGTATTTTTAACGCGGTTGAATGGAAGAGATTTCAAGAACGGTCTTTCCTTTCTGTATAAAAAGTGACAAATTACATTTTTCGGTAGGAGAGCAGTAAGAACTGGACCATTTACCGTTACTAAAAGATTTGTTTGGCGGTATGCCATTTAACCCTTGGTCAGCACATTTATCGCAGAGGTGATTCGTAGTGAGGTGGCGAACATACAGTCTTGAGCTACGGATCTGTAATTTACGTAGCAGCGGTTGCGGGTTCAGTGATTTCTCTCCTATTATATCAGCTTGAAGTCGTTTCTTGTTTTGCGTTGCGTCCAAGGGCTGGTATTTCTGTCGTTAAGTGTGAGTTGATAGTTTCGTGGGCTTGGGTCTGTTTTTGTGGAAGTCCTTCCGTGACGTTCTGGTGGGGGTGATTTTTCAGGTTTTTGAGAATGGTATTTTGTAACAGTGCATTCGGAGAAGTTTGTCGTGAGGGATTAGGTTTAGAAGATGGGTTTTATGGGAAGGTATGAAGCCCTGATTATTTCGTTGGCAAGTATTTGAAGTGCTTGGTTGCAGAAGGCCACTTAGAGGTATTTTGTAAATGTTCTCATTGATAAGCGTCTGAATTAGCCGGATTTAAAATTTGCAGTTTTATTTACTTTTTCTTCATATCGTTGAGTTGTGGGTTTTGTGGGGGCTGAGTTAGAGAACTCGACGGAAGGGATTGCTGCATGTTTTAAGATTATTAGCTAGTAAAGTGGCCTCGTGGGTCGTAAAAGGAAAGTGGTAAGTTGTGTGGTTGAATTTGCATCTATTTTTCATTTATAGACTGAGTTTGAGGGTGGTTATTAATTGCTTTTTTTAACATTTTAAGCGTGTCAAGGTTTTCGCGTTCTTTGTGGTGATGGTTCCTGGTTACCTCGTTACTCTTATGACCCTCTTTTAATCTCGTTTTAGAATGCTTTCGGTGCGGGTTGTAAAGTTTGTTCTAAACCCAAGTCTACGACCGGTTAATGCAGCTTGGAAATCTGAGTTCTTTCTGGTGTGCCCTCGTTTCAGATCTCTAAGCTCTTCGCCTACGCAAGGTGTGGTTCTTGGCTTTATGTTTATGCAAAAAAGTTTACAATTTCCAGTGGTAATCAGATTTTTTATTTGCTTTATTTGCGTATTATCGATCTTTGCTTTTCTAGGCAAGAGTTTTTCTGAATTTCTTAGTGTTACTGGTAATTATCATTGAAACGAAGGTACTTTTTGGTGTTTGACGTGACATATAAATATTGAAATTAGCAGTGCAGACTTTTGAGTCTTATAATAAGAGAGAAGGGTCACGGATTCTGATTCAGTTCGATAAGTTCTTGGTTTTCAAATGTTGATTGTAAATCCCATACATTCGTTTCGTTTAGGTTCGGGAAAAGATTTTGACGATCGAACTAAGGCAGATTTTGAAAAATTTACAAAAGATCTAGATGATAAATTGAAGCGCAGTAATCTGAATGAAACCAAAAATCCTCAGTTTAAACAAGAAAAGCAACAGGTTCCTTCAACTTAAAAATTCGTAATCTGATATTTTGAGTAACTTGTTCAGCAAGCCCTTCTAAATTATATTAAGTCTTTTTAATTTTCTCAATTGTGCTCAAGACGCGGTGTAAAAATCAAGTTGAGGAAGCGAAAAGAAGGCAAAGGAGCGGTGGGAAGTACTACTGACCAGTGAAGTGTTGAAGTGGCATATCGCCTCATTCTGTAGCTAAATTTTTCCCAAAAAAATGCGTAAAAAGTACGGGGAAGGGTGCTGCTGTTGAGTTGTCTTGCGGAAGCTCTAGAGATTCAACGAAGTCTAGTGCATATCAGTAACAAAAGGGAAGTGCCTTTGTTAAGAGATGCAGTTAAGTGTTGATACTATTTTTAAATTTATCTGCCATTTCATCTAGCAGATAAGTAGCAGTTAGGAGATTCCGAAAGGTAAAAAGTAAAGTAGAGAACATGATGTTGTGGCAAATTACCTTAGTTTCTTTTATCTAATAATTAACCACTTGAAAGAATAACTATGCTTACAACACAGTTTAGTTAAAAAAAGAGTTGTTATACTTGCTGAATTTCTAAAGTATATTTTTGTCTAAAACGAATATTATTTATACGACGCCTGTCTTTGATGAGTGTGCTTTGCAACCTGCCTTCGCACGCATCATTTTTTGGCTTCGGAATCAAAATGTCATTGAACAGTTTACTTTTTCCGCCCTGGGAAAGTACACGTTATGCTACAGATGAAATAAAAATGGTTATAACACGGTCTCTGATGCGCTTCAGGAGCTCCCTGAATTTATTGGCTTTTGGAAGACTGCGTAAAGAGCGACATTTCAAGGTCTGGTACAGTTGTTTAAAAAACGGTTCTCCTAAGATGAGGAGACAAATGGCAACTCACTAGTCTTTCTCTAATTCCTCTTATATTTTCCTGGTTTTAGGTGTCACCAATTCCTGTTAGATTGTGATTTGTTCTCCGCTTTCTCTATAACCGTCTGGCGAATTAATTTAGTCTTGATTTTTTATAACATTGTTTCTTTTACTTTTCTCTCCTTGATTTCACTTGTTTATCATTTTATTGATGGGTAAATATGTTGTCATTTGAAGAGCAGCCATACATTATTTAACCATTTAATTGCGAGATGTTATGGAAGGAGAACCGTAGTTTAGCAGAGTTACAAAAGATCAGCAACTTAATATCACTAACGGGCAATCAATAATTACTTACCATTTGACTTCGATCACGTGTATGAGACCATCCTTTCAGCAAATCTATTCAGCTGTAGAGCATTGCTGTTTGAACCAGCTATAAAAAACCAAAAAAGTCAGAAGGTTCAAAAAAATAGTGATTACGATAGTAGTGCCTTTTTAAGTTTTTGTAGCTCTTATGAATTCAATTGAGTACTTGTCGACAGAAGAACGGGGAAGCGGACGTCTTTCCTGACACGTGAATATTTGATGGTATCTGGCATAAAGTCATTTTGTTGTCCTTTTGTATAAATGTTTTAGTGGCCCCTTGTTCGCAGCTCTCTTCATTCATACTGTATAGTCCGCTTTTGCTCGTTCTTCTTCGTTACTTATCCAGATTGGAAACCTACTTGTGACGCTAAACCAGCGATCTCTCTTAATGGCGGCGCTATTAGCCAAGATAGATGGCTGTTCTCTTATTTTGTATTGTTAATTGGATATAATATGATA